GCATCCTTCTTGTCATCCATCTCAGCTTAAGCATAACTTTCTCAGGGAGGTCTTCTCTGATAGCCCAACTTAAGTGGCCCCCCAGCCACTCTTCCTCACACGATTCTGTTTTCTTCATGGCAGGCATCATGCTCTGCATATCTGCATATTTAATTGTTCAAGTGTTTCTTGTGTGCCCCGGTTAGATGATAAGTACGTTGAAGGAGAGATTTGATCTGTTTCATTACATACCCGCAGTACCAAGGACAGTGCCTGCCACCCCATAGATAATCAACAGTTCTATATTGAAAAAAAGAAATGAGGCCGGGTGTGGTGGCTCACATCTATAATCCCAGCACTTTGGGAGGCCGAGGCAGGTGGATCACGAGGTCAAGAGATTGAGATCATCCTGGACAACACGGTGAAACTCCGTCTCTACTAAAAATACAAAAATTAGCTGGGTGTGGTGGCGTGTGTCTGTACTCCCAGCGACTCAGGAGGCTGAGGCAGGAGAATTGCTTGAACCAGGGAGGCGGAGGTTGCAGTGAGCGGAGATTGTGCCACTGCACTCCAGCCTGGCGACAGAGCGAGACTCAGTCACACACAAAAAAAAGAAAAGAAATGAAAGAACCACTATGGTTAAAACAACAAATATACTTTCCAAATGACTAGGGAATATATAAAGAAATAGAGCACAGTCAGTTTAACCAAGAAACACAACACTTAGGAAATGGCAGGGTTTCATAAAACACTAAAAGCATAAAACAGGATGGCAGAAATTAAACCAAATTCATGAGTTGGGTTTAAAAACCAAATCCAGTCATGAAATATGTTGCTTTAAATGGACTCCTCCAAAATATAATGATACAGAGAGACTTAAAACACAGGATGGACAAAAATTTACTACATGGATGCAAAGACAAAGAAAGCAGGGATCATGATATGAATTTCAGTCAAAGAATAAATCAAGGGAAACACATTGAATTGGGCAAAGGAGTTTTATTACACCAACAACTATGCAGTCCATGGTGATGTGATAGTACACATGCATATTTATGTACTGTGTAACACAGCATGAAAATGCTGGAATAACAACAGTTGAAAGTCAAAGAAAAATGTCAGAATTCCAATTGAAATGGAAGATGTTAATACACCCATCCTAAATCCACTTTCTTCATGATGAGTGGGGTAGAAGACAGAATATAATCTAGAAGACTGTCTGGAAGATGAAATAATAAATGACATAGAGACTTACAAAAAATATACAAGACAAATGAACATTTAACTAATTATTGTTCATGTTCACTGATAAACAATTTTTTAACAACTACTATATGCTCAGCCTGGAACTAGATTATGGGGCTTGCTTAATCTGTCTTCTATTCAGATAAATATGGAAATATTTTCTCAAAATTGATCATGTATTAGATCACAAAGAAAGACCCAACGAATTTTTTGAAAAAGCAGAAATTCAACAAGCTCCTCCTTCACCATCATACAATGTACCTGGAAATTGATAACAAAAATTTAATGAGCAACAAGGAACTCTCAACACTTGGAAATTTTTAAGCTATTTACATACTAAAGTCAAAGAGGACAACAAAATCTTAAGTAATTTCGTGTAAGATTGCCTTCACACTTGTGTTTCCAATTCTTTCGCCAGAGCAACTCCATCTTGAAAACAGGATAAGTAAAATAAGGCTGAGGCCCATTGGGTGGCATTCCTAGGAGGTTAAGGCGTTCTTAGTCACAGGATGAGACAGGAGGTTAGCAGAAGATACAGGTCCCAAAGACCTTACTGATAAAACAGCATGTGGTAAGGAAGCCAACCAGATCCCACCAAAACTAAGATGGGGATGAAAGTGACCTCTGGTCACCCTCATGGCTCATTTTACGCTAATTATAATGCATTGGTATGCTAAAAGACACTCCTACCAGTGCCATTAAAGTTTACAGATGCCATGGCAACCTCTGGAAGTTACCCCATATGATCTAAAAAGGGGAGGAACCCTCAGTTCCAGGAAAATTCAGCAATAATCCACCCCTTGTTTAGCATACAATCGTGTAAGCAGCTGAGTAGACCACGCGGCTGCTAACAAGCTTGCTTTCACTTTACCCTATGGATTCGCCTCCAATTCTTTCTTGTGTGAGAACCAAGAGCCCTCTCCTGGGACCTGGATTGGGATCCCTTTCCTGTTTTTCTTCAGATTAACTAAGGATTCATACAATATTTTAAATGTTTAAAGACTTCATAAACATGCAACTTGAAAAGTTAAGGGCCCATGCCAGGCACAGTGGCTCACACGGGTAATCCCAACAGTGTGGGAGGTCAAGGCAGGCTGATCACTCGAGCCCAGGATTCTGAGACCAGCCTGGGCAATATGGTAAGACCCCGTCTCTACAAACAGTACAAAAATTAGTCAGACACAGCGGTGTTCACTTGCAGTCCCAGCTACCTGCGATGCTGAGGTAAGAGGACCGCTTGAGCCTGGGTGGTGGACGTTGCAATGAGCCAAAATTGTGCCACTGAGCTTGCGTGACTGAGGGAGACTGTTTCCAAAAGAAAAAAAAAATGTTAAGGGCTCCATAATCCCACACCCCAGGAATAATCACCGACCCGACTCCTTTCTTTTTTTTTTTGAGATGGAGTTTCGCTCTTGTTACCCAGGCTGGAGTGCAATGGCGCGATCTCGGCTCACGGCAACCTCCGCCTCCCGGGTTCAGGCAATTCTCCTGCCTCAGCCTCCTGAGTAGCTGGGACTACAGGCACGCGCCACCATGCCCAGCTAATGTTTTGTATTTTTAGTAGAGATGGGGTTTCACCATGTTGACCAGGATGATCTCGATCTCTTGACCTCGTGATCCACCTGCCTCGGCCTCCCAAAGTGCTGGGATTACAGGCTTGAGCCACCGTGCCCAGCCCTCCTTTCTTTCAGATTCCAAAACAAAGATATAAGTCAAAAAGTAGAAAGAATGTATTCTTTTCAATGTCCCTTTCTTTTTAGAACCTCCTCTCTCTAGTGAACCGTATCTTTGAAGAGGGAGATGCAGACTTCTAAGCACTGTTTAGGTAATTTCCAATCCGTGGAAATAGTTAGCTATCTGCTGATACTCTCCATCTTCCACGTGGCTATGCTATGGGGCTTGAGCAGGGTGACGTCTCCCAGTATCTGCACGCATCGATAAATAAATGAGAATTGCCATAACGATTATGATGATTATTTTAAAGCTCAAACCCTGGAGTAAAAAAAATTGCTCTTTTCAAGTCATTTTATGCACACATGACACTCACCTCTACCTGCCCTGCTCAACAGAGGACAGAAACAAATTGCCGAGTTGCCAACTCTGGGCAATGCCTCCAGAACCAATGCTGCTTGTTTTACTTTAATGGGGAAATAACTTCATTAGAAATGGCATTTTCTTGGCTAGCTGGTTCCCAAGACTGCAAAAGTGCCCCAAAAGCACTTGTGCTCTCTGCAGCTGACTGAATCGGCCACTCTAGTCTCTTGGGGCCCTGGGATGAGAGGTCAAATCTGCCAAAAATGAGATAAGTCCATGTGTCCTCAAGTTTTTTTTGGTGAGTGTCACCGTTTTAAAGTGCAGCCTTCCCAGCACTCTCTCTTCCTCTTCCCAGTTCAGCTTTTCTCTGTGGCTTGAATACCACACATTCACATCGGTAGTCTGGTTTATTGCCTCTCCCTCCCCATTAGATTGTGAGTTCCTAGAGAACATGGGGATGTTTCTGTCTGGTTCACAGCTCTAGCTCCAGTGCCTATGACAGTGCTTGGTGCATAGTAGGTACTCAAGAAATAGTTTTGAATAAATAACCCCCAAATTTATTTCTACAGTAAAAGATGTTTTCCTGGGGAAGGGCAGAGCCATATGGCCCCTAAGTTCTGGAAGAGACTGAACCTCTAGGAGCATCCATGGAGCAATGTGGACAAAGGAAGGACGTTTTCAAGAGTGGGTGGAAGGGGAGAAAAGAAAATGATGTGAAGAAAGGAGCAGAGGCCAGGTGTCTTTAGCATTTACCTGGCACCCTTTATCTATAAAACTGGGTCACTCTGGGGCTGAAAAGGGAAGAGAGACGGACGTGGGGCCAGGTCTGCTTCTCTGTCCGCCTCTCCCTTTTGCCCATGTATACAACCTCTCAGGAATTGCTGTCAGCTCGACCTTCAAAATAAATAGGAATCCACCTACCTCTCCCCAGAGCCCCTGCTCTGAGCCTGCCACCAGCCGCCATCTCTAGCCTGAACTATTTCAATCATCTCCTCGCTTATTTCCACCTCTGCCCGGACAGTGGGCTCTCCAAACAGCATCAGACTGAGTTCTCAGCAGTAACAGAGCTGGTCACCCTCTGCTCAAACCCTCGCAGCTCAAATCCCACCCTCCTTGAGGACTACCGTAACCACACCACCTGTTTAATACTGTGACCTGCGCCAGGCACCATCACTCTGGGCCTCCATATTCTTTTTCTTGTTTTCCTTATCACCGACCTCTTCCAACACCTCAAATAGGGATGGCCATGGTTTGCCCTCTGTCTCCCACCTCTTCCCCCAAGGACTTCAGTTCCCCCAGGCCGGGGAGACCTTTGCTTTGTTCGCCCACGTCCTAAGCATTAGAACTGCGCCTGGCACCAGCAGGTGTTCCATTATTTATTTAATGGGTGACTTGGAGCAGAAACAGAAGTGCAGTGCGCTGTTTTCCTGAGATCTGAGCTGATGATGATAAATGATAAATAAGTCTTGGGATTTTAGAAGACAGGAATCACGAGAATCAACACCAATGAAGTCCAAGTCTCCTCTGCTACTGTCTGAAGCGGAACAAGAACAGAAATAAGGTCTGTTTTCTTTCCGCTTCGCTGTCTGTTTCTGTCCAAAAACGAACGTCTCTCTGACACCTTTAAGGTTTCCCTTTGTCTCTTTAGGTTTCCTTCCGTGACACTGGCTTGTTACTCTAACGCTGTCAGCAATTCACTCCCAAAGGTGAGGTCCCCGTGGGAAGTGGGAAAACTCAGCGAATCACCAGGGTCGCGCCTGACTCCGAAAAGGCTGGATGCTGGCGAGGAACCGGCCCCGCGGCTCCCGCGTCCCCGCCTGCCTGCGCGGCCTGCAGCTGGGGTTACAAAGGGCTCCCAGCGCCGATCCAAACCGCGTTCCAGGCGGGGTGGGCGGGCCCCCGGCCAGCGAGGCCGAAGCAAAACAACCCGCCCAGGCGTCCAGAGCGTATCCAACCCTGGAGAACCTGCCCCGGGACCCAGAGCCGCAGCCAGCTCGGGCCTCTCGAGTGAGGCTTTTCCAGCCCCCGCGACGGACCCCGGGATCTGCAGCTGGGCGGCGGGGCTCGTTATGGGAAAGGGGTGCGCGCGCGTTTGTGCTAAAACAAGAAAGGCAAGAATCTCCGAGAACAGAACTCTGGTCCTCGCCTGGGCAGGGAGCGCAGAAGACAGGGGCGGCGGCGCCAAGGCGGGTCAGGGGCCGGTCCAGCCAAGTTTGCTCCGGCTTAGCTAAACTTTCTGATGGCAGTTTTTCCTGGTTGCAGCCTGGGTTCCTTGTAACCGGGTAAGCGTAGCGGGTGGTTGTCAGGAGGGGCGGGGGCTGGAGGTACGAGGGGATGGGAGGGGGGAATGGCCAGACCCGGGGTCGCGCAGGCGCCTTGCTCCCTGCCTCCGCTCCGTTCGCCCCCGCTCCACCCACTCCGCGGGCTTGGGAAGGTGGCTGGGGGAGGGGGATGGCTCCCTATCACAGAGGGACGGCCGGAGGCTGACACAAAGCCCTTTCTCCCCTCCTCCTCTTTCCCCTCCTCTCCCCTCTCCTGCCCTCCTGTCTCCCCCTGTCTCGTTTTCCTCCTTCTCCTCTGGCTCCTCCTGGGCGGGGAAACCCAGCCCGTCGCTCATCTGCGGGATCACCGGTTGCCCCCGCCTCCGGGACCTGCAAGGAGGGCCCGCGCGAGGTAAGGGGCGGTGGCAGCGGAGACCCCACCCCCTGTGCCCGCTGCCAGAGCCCGGAGAGGCTCCGTGCATGGGCGGGGCTCTCTGGGGTTCAAGACCCGGGTGCTGCTGCGCGCACTCTCTCCCCACTCCGGAGGGGACTTGGGGAAGAGAGCTAGAGAGAGTCCTTCTGTCGTGGGGAACAGAAGGGGGAATCGGGGAGTGGGGAAGGGGGCAGGGTGACATTCCGCAGGGCGAGGTGGCCGCTGGTCCAGGCAGGGTCACCGGGTGTCCTCAGCTGACCTATGCGGGGCTGGGGGTGAGGGACAGCTGGAGGCTGCAGGCACAGTGACTGGAGGTTCGGGTGTGGGCGCATGTGCGCGGGACGGGGTGGTAGGGACCTTTGTGGCGTTCTACCTGCGGGGCTGCCTGCGGGGTGTCAGGTGCTCCCTGTGCCTGTACGCGCGGGCTAGACTGGGGGTCGCACAGCTTTGGCCCCCAGCGCGGACCCCTCCGGTGCATCCAGCCAGTGTGCAGGGCAGATGCTCCAACCAGAGATTTCCTCCCTCGGGAGGAAAAGCAGAAGGGTCGGTGTGTCCGGGCAGGGGACGCTCGGGTTGTCGCGGTGATTGATGGCGGCGCGGCGGGCGGAGGAGGAGCTCCGGATTCCTGCCGGGAAGGGACGGGGCCACTTTCCCACTTTGAGGACTCCCCGCCCGCCTCTGGGCTTGGCCTGGGCTCCCACCAGCTCAGCGTCCTCCCACCGGCGGTGGCGCGCCCCTCGACGGCATGGAGACAGCAGGATTTAGAAAAGTTAAACTTTAAAGCCTGTTGCCAAGAAATACAGGGCAAGATCAGTCCCCCGTGCCCTGAGAGGGGCCTCTGTTCTCGGAGCTCCCAAATCCCTGGGGTTTTCCTAATTCCGCCGTAGCTGCATGCCGCGTAGCCGCACTTCCTTGCGCGGTTTTGGGCACATTGCGGTTTCTTAGGAACACGCTGTCATCAGTAAGGAAACATCAGAGTGCCCTTCGACAAAAGGACTGTAAATACTGAAGCAAAAAGTAACACTAGGAGGGCCAAGGGCTTACTGGGGAAAAAAGAAACATACAGGGCAGCACTCCATCATTAAGATAAATAGTATTTTAATACAATATTTTTAACAAAACCAAATTGAATGTAAAAAATATATAATAAGCAAAAATCAACATTTTAAATAAAGGTGGGTGTTGTTAGAATCCTGCTTCATTGGCCGGATGCGGTGGCTCACACCTGTAATCCCAGAACTTTGGAAGGCTGAGGCTGGCAGATCACTTGAGGTCAGGAGTTTGAGACCAGCCTGGCCAACCTGGTGAAACCCCATCTCTACTAAAAATACAAAAAATTGCCAGGCGTGGTGACACGCCTGTGATCCCAGCTACTCAAGAGAATGAGATAGGAGAATCACTTGAACCCGGCAGGCAGAGTAAAACTATGTCTCCAAAAAGCAAACAAACAAAAAACCCTGCTTAATTATTCAATGGAAACAGCCATATCAGATTCTCCCCCACACCTCCCCATTTGTCCCTTCCCTTGCCTGATGGTTTGAGAGTTGACAGTGGCATGCAACAGATTGAGCAACTCTGGCTTCCGATGCGGTCATGTTCACTGACTGCAGAGCTTTTATTCACTTTTTGCCCAGTTCAAAGATGGGAGGATATTGTCATAAGTGGATATAGAGGTGTTCATTTTCCTTCTTGCCTCAGGTTCCATATGCCTCTGGAATACCCGTGCACTCCCATGCTTTCGCACCTCCAGAGGGAGCATCACAGGCCAGGGATTGGTAGCGTCCTGGGACAGTGAGGGCCTTTGCTTTTGGAATCTGGGAAGGCTGTTGACAGGAGCTTTTGGGTTTGGAGACTTGCTTTCGGTAGTTGGAGGCTGGAGACATGGGGTAAACCAACCTGCCATCAAGACCTCTTTTGTCTGGAAATATTCTCCCACAGACAGTTCATCAGAGCAGAGGAGGAAACTAGAGTTGCCCACACTTGGCCTCTGGTGTAGGGCAGAAGGGAGGGCGCTTGACTCCCAGGATGGCTCTGGCACTTGCTTATTTAAAGATGACTTCACAGCAGCACTCCTATCCCCACCCACGGTGACCCCACACACACCTTATTCAAAGTCAAGGATCACCACCCACCTCAGGACTTCCACTTTCCAGAAAGAACCTCCTTGCTTAGCTAAATCCTCTTCCTCTGCTTGGAGGACACAGATGAATCAGGTATCACAGATGGAACACAGGGTATGCTTCCTTGGGGGTCCATGTTCATGTGACCCATTCATGGGAGGCCCACTCTTCACATACTCTCTGTATTACAGTGTTTTGACCTTGTGCCCAACCCCCCCGTACATGCAAACCTCTTAATGATCCTTCAAGAATCCTAATGGTTTCAGCAGGAAAGATTTCCCTGATCCCATTCTTTCCCTGGTAAGGCACCTTCTCACCGCCACCAGAATTCCGTGTGTGTGTTTGTGTGTGTGTGTGTGTGTGTGTGTGTGTGTGTCTGTGTGTGTGTGTCATTAAGGTAATGCAGTGGACCTTACTTGCCCACTGTCCATAAGCTTCCCAGGGTCCAAAACCAGGCTATAGCCCTTAAGACCTACCACTCAAGGAGGTGGTGTGGAATGAATGAATGAATGAATACATGAATGAATGAAAGAACAAAAGTATACCTTTGTCAAGGCATTTTGAGGAGTTGCACCTCAAGAAGTACACCCTCAGGACTGCAATGCCTCTGAAGATAGCAGATGATATTATTATGGCTCATTATAAAATGCCTTTACAGGTAGTATCTCAGTTATTTCTCACAACAGTAGTATTCATTGCATTTTTTGGTGAGGAAATGGAGGCCTAAAAGTAGTCAGTCATTCTGCCACAGCACAGTGAACTTGCTAAAGGCGAACCTGCTCAGCGGCACACTCTGTGCAGTGTGTCTAGAGCAGGATTCACCACCTTGTGTTTTAGGATGCCGTTTTGCTAAAAAAATCACTAATGAATTACAATGATAAAGTATGTTAGGGAAATGCTAATGTTAATCTGTTTTTTTATGGGAGGACTTTAAGGAGTCTTTATCATTGCCCAGGTGTGGTGGCACCTGCCAATCCCAGCACTTTGGAAGGCCAAGGCAGGAGGATCACCAGGTCAGGAGTTCAAGACCAGCCTGGCCAACATAGTGAAACGCCATCTCTACTAAAAATACAAAAAAATAGCCAGGCGTGGTGGTGGGCACCTGTAGTCCCAGCTACTTAGGAGGCTGAGGCAGGAGAATCACTTGAACCCGAGAAGTGGAGGTTGCAGTGAGCCTAGATCACGCCATTGCACTCAAGCTTGGGCCACAGTGCGAGACCCCATCTCAAAAAAAAAGTATTATTATACCATACATTGGGACTCTTTAGAATGACGCCATAGTATGGGTTGCTTGCCAACTTTATTTGGCCACAGAGCACTCTTTCTCATGAAGCATCTTCTGGATCCAGTGTTCCACGGAATTCACCCTGGGAATTGTTGCTTAGTTCCCCATAAATCTTCTAATGTCTAGGTCAGTTTCCAAGGAATGTTGATTCCATCTAATATGTGGTATTTAGGATGGTAAAAATGTGTATTGTGGACATTAGAAAGGCATAGTAATCCACCCTTGTATTTAAAGTGGATCGTTGGTCTATGCATCCAATTAATGCAAGTAAATTCTATGTATCCGATTAACGTGAGTGGGCTCTTTGGCTTTGATCAGATATGATCTGAGGGAACCCCAGCCTCTAGAGAGCACCGTCTTTTTTCTGCCCAGAAGCCTTCAGATCTCAACCAGCCTTTCCAACTCTGAGAATGCCCTCAAATGCAGTTCTGCATGTGGAGTGGCAACTTCCAGGTTCTTGTTCTGAGATCACTATTTCATCTTGGCTAGTTTACATCCAGTGAGAAAGCACACCTGCTCAGTGAATTTTCAGTTCTCACTTCCTCTCGCCCTGGGTGCTGGCCAAGTGAATTCTCTAGGGTGTCTAAGTGCATGTGGACATTTACTTATGAAAAGGTAGCAGCAGTCACTTTCTGGGTGTGTCAGAACCAGAACAGAAGCCTGCTGAGAGCAGTCTCTCCTCACAGGAGCTGCAACCCCTGTTCAAAGCGCCCATTGCTTGAAGTCAGGTATTTCTAAATTAGGGACTTGACTGCAATCTACTGTTAGATCACCTTCCACAGACCAGCAACCTCAACTATTGAGGCTTTCTTCCAATTAAGGAGAAGAAGTGGGGAAGTTGGAATTAGAATTTCAAAGACTCAAAGGAGAATTGTGGCCTAGTGAGGAGGCTTGGGAAACTGATTAAAGAGGTACGGCTGTGCAGATATAACATTCATCTGCAGACATTTATAAGTCTCCATGGCTGAGCAAATATATCTCAAGATTTGTTTCGTAGATTTTTCCAAAGCAGGAAAAGTAAAAAGTCTTATTTTGAGACATTTATTAAACAGGGTGGCATCACAGAAGTCAAGGGAAGGAGTGTTTTGAGAAAATGGACCTATCAGATGGGGCCGGATGGGGAGTGGCAAGGGGAGGTGAAGAAGATGACTAGGTTGATGAATCATTAGCCAAGCCATGGAGTTCAAGTGTGTGTGTTTGTGTGTGTGTGGGCATATGCATGTCATCATGCCTGTGTGAACAAGGGAGAAGGTGGGGAGGAAATACTGACTGTGATTTTTTGAAAAATATTTTGAGATGGAGTTTCGCTTTTGTTCCCTAGGCTGGAGTGCAGTGGTTCAATCTCAGCTCACTGCAACCTCTGCCTCCTGGGTTCAAGCAATTCTCCTCCTCAGCCTCCTGAGTAGCTGGGATTACAGGCACCCGCCACCATGCCTGGCTAATTTTTCCTGTTTTTAGTGGAGACCGGGTTTCATCACGTTGGCCAGGGTGGCCTCGAACTCCTGACCTCAAGTGATCAGCCCACCTCAGGCTCCCAAAGTGCAGGGATTACAGGTGTGAGCCACTGCGCCTGGCCCTGAGTGTGATTTTTAGCCTGTTGAGTTTAAAAGTCCTGGCCGGTTGCAGTGGCTCACGCCTGGAATCCTAGCACTACGGGAGGCTGAGGTGGGCAGATCACTTGAGCTCAGGAGTCCAAGGCCAGCCTGGCCAACATGGTGAAACCCCCATCTCTACTAAAAATACCAAAAAAAAGTAGCCAGGCCTGGTGGCAGGCCCCTGTAGTCTCAGCTGCTTGTGAGGCAGAGGCAATAGAATCCCTTGAACCTGGGAGGCAGAGGTTGCAGTGAGCCAAGATTGCACCATTGCACTCCATCCTGGGCAACAGAGAGAAGACTCTGTCTCAGAAAAAAAAAATAAATAAATATAT